CAAACTATAAGGCTCTCTACAGTAATCTACAGTAATCAAACACCGTTCCATCAAATTTCAGACAAAGAAAATCGGAAAAATCGAAAAAGAATCTTCAAAAATAGCTGAAAACCCTAAAAAGGTCTAAAAATTTTGCAAAAAATCGAAGAAAAAATCAATCGAGAACTGAGATTTTTCGCTCTTTTTTAGCGATTTTTCAAGGGTTTGCAACTTTTTTTTCGAATTTTTTCTTTATTTTTGAACGTCCCTCTTCAATGGCCTAACTTCCCAAATCCCACATTTTCTAGGCCAGCACCATCTCGTGCCGCCGCTCCACCACCACGTCGTCAAGCCGCAGCCGCTGGTCCAGAAGTTCCCGGAGTGGATCCACGTCTTCTGGCAGCCGCTCTCAATGATAATCACGGTGATGGAGACGATGATGGAATAGAAATGGATGAGGAGCTGCTCAATGAGCTACACGGATTAGTTGGAGGGGGAGGATCCCCGGTGAAACAGGCTCCTCCTGTGCCTGTCCGTCAGGCTCCGCCCCCTTTGGGCGGTCCATCTGGTCCCGCTCCCTTTGGTCCCGCCCCGTCACTTGGAAACGAAAATAACAATTCGCAATTGAATCATTTACGACAACTTCATACTTATTACGCGAAGGCTCATAAGGCGGCGGAGCAAGGAGGAGAAGGAGCAAAAGCTAGGAGGTGAGGATTTTTTTTTTGAAAAATTAGAATTTTTAGGATTTCGGAATTTTTTTAATTTCTGAATTTTTGGAATTTCGAAATCGTGGATTTTAGAATTCCAGAATTTTAGAATTTTTGAAATTTTCGAACTTTTGTATTTTGTGAAATTCTGAGTTTTTGAATTTTTTGAATTTTTTTAAATTTTAGGTTTTTCGATCTGAAAATGCGACAAAGAAATTGTTGAAAGATTGGCTACAGTAATCCTACAGTATCCAGGAAGAGGATTACGGTAGTAGAAACCCAAGAAAACTACAGTAGCCCTCAAAAATGAGAATAGCTACAGTAACCTGGAGACTACTGTAACTAGTTACAATGTCCTTGTGAAAATGCGTCAAAGACAGGTTACAGTATATGTAGTCTACAGTAATCTAGAACCCAAAATACCTACAATCCAAAATTCGAAATTTTCAACTTTCACAATTTTTTGGTTTTTTTTTTGGGTTCCAGATTACTGTAACTAGCTACAGTATCCTTGTGAAAATCAGTCAAAGGCAGGATACAGTATAGTCTACAGTAATCTGGAATCCAAAAAAAACCTAAAAACCAAAACATTTCGAAAAATTGAAAATTTCGAATTTTGGATTTTAGGTATTTTGGGTTCTAGATTACTGTAGACTACATATACTGTAACCTGCCTTTGACGCATTTTCACAAGGACATTGTAGCTAGTTACAGTATTCTCCAGGTAACTGTAGCTATTCTCAGCTTTGAGAACTGCTGTAGTTTTCTTGGGTTTCTAACTACCGAAATCGTCTTCTACAGTAAAAGAAAACTACAGTAGCTCTCAAAAATGAAAATAACTACAGCAACCTGGAGACTGCTACAGTAATCCCATTTCTTCAGATACAAACGTGCCATTGACAAACTAGTCGAGCTCATTCGCTCTGTTGAGAAGGGAAAGAAAATCGATGAATCCGAAATCCCACCAGCACCTCCAAACTTCTCAACAGAGCCCCTTCCACAAGCTCCGCCCACTGCTCAACCGGCCCATCATCCACCGGCTCCGCCCATCCGACAAGCCGCCCAAGCCACGCCCACCTCTGAAGCTCCGCCCCCAATCCCACAGAGAAAATCGTCTGCGACACCATCAACCACATCCACGACAGCTTCAAAAGAACCCACGGATCCAAAGAAGGCGGCAATCTACCGTATCCTTCAACACCGTCGGAATCTCCACGTGGCAAATGGAAAAGCAGCAATTGCGGCTGGGGATAAGGATTCGGCAAAAGAGTCCGTGGGAATGGCAAAGGCTTTTGATCAGGTAGGAATTCTAAATTTAATGCTGAGCAATACGGATTCTGGAAAAATGAACTTTTGTCTGAAAATCGCTCAAAAAATAAAAAAAATGAAACAGTTCACATTTTTTCGTTTTTTGAAATTTAGAAATTCCAAAATTTCAAAAACTCAGAAAATCTTTAAAAAATTCATGAAAATTGGAAAATCAAAAACACGGAAACTCAAAATGTCTAAAATTTGAAATTTCAATAAATCTGAAATCTGAAAATTCTGAAATTCGAAAATGAAAAAATTCGAAAAAGTCAAGAGATCAAAATGATCAGATTTTCAGATATTTTAAAAATTCGAAATTCAAAAAAATGCTCAATTCCAATTCCAAAAATATGCTCAATTCCAATTCCAAAAATCATGAATTCAACATTCAAAATATCGAAAGTTCGGGATTTTAGAATTTCCAGAAAATTCAAATTTTGAAAAGAACAAAAAAATCTGAAAATCCAAAAAATCCGAAATATCGAAAAAAAAATCTGAAATTTGAAAAATCTTAATTTCCCAAATTTAGAAAATTGTAATAATCTGAAATTCCGATAATTTGAAAATGAGTATTTCAGAAATTCAAAAAAAAAATCCTAAATTCAGAAATTGAGCAAATCGAAAACTGAGAATTTCCAGAAAATTCAGAAAATCGAAAATTTAGGTTTTCAAAAATTCAAAAAATTTCAAAATTTTGATATTCCAGAAAGTCGAAAATTCAGAAATTCAAAAAATTCGACAAGTCGAAAATGCTTAAGAAACTTAAGAAATTCGAAAATTCGGCATTTAAAACTTCCACAGGTTGAAAACTAGAAAAATCAGAAAAATCAAAACATCAGATTTCCAGAAATTCGAGCAAAAATTAACACTGAGCAACAATGAAATTGCTCTTGCTAAGTTGTCACAATTTCATCGTTGCTCACTAGTCAGTGTTGATTTTTGCTCAATTTTCTGAAAATCCGATTTTTTGAATTTCTGAAAATTTGGAATATAAATTTTTAACTTAGACATTTTGATTTTCGAATTTTTCGATTTTTTAAATTCGGAATTTTCGAATTTTCGATTTTATGGTTTCAGATTTTTTTTTTTTTGAAATTTGAGATTCGAAATATCTGAAATTTTTTATTTTTTGAATTTCAGATTTTTTTTTTGTTTTAATTTCGAAAATTTGAAGGCCATCGTCGCTTTGAACACCGCCGCTGCCGACGAAATGGACATGAACGATGTGCCTCCTTCCCCACCACCATACCGTAAACCGTCTGCTCAACAAGCCCCGCAGGCTCCGCCCCCACAGGCCCCGCCCACGTCCAATGGCCCTCTCACATTTATCGGTGCTCTCGAACAACGACACGCTAGATATCAACAAATGGCACAAAAAGCGAAATCCGAGGGAAATGAGCGAAAAGAACGAATGAATACCCGGCTGGCTGGCCAGTACGCGGATGCGATCAAAGAGGCAAAACGAGGAAAACCAGTGAATATTGCTGAACTACCAACACTGCCAGATATGACTCCACTACCACCACAGACATCTGGACAGGCGGGAGGCCAGACAGGAGGAGGACATACTCATCCTAAACCACCACCACCACAAGTTGGACCATTGGCACCCAGTGGTGTAGAGGGAAAGAGCCGAAATTCAGCACAGTTGGAATTTCTACTCGAACGACAGGCGCAGTTTAAGCAAGCTGCTATTCATGTAGGTCCCTTTTTTTTCGATATATCGTAAAACCTGTATTAGAAGGGCTCTGAAATTGAAAAGCCCTCTTTTTCAAGGGCCCCTTCTAATTGAAGAGTCCCTCAAGTTCATATGCCCCCCTGGGAACCCCACGAGAAATAGAAGGGCCAGCCCTTCTAATAAAGGTTTTACGGTAAATTTATTCCAGGCGAAATCTCGTGGAGATGTCGAGACGGCGAAAAAGTATCTGATCGAAATGAAAGGATTTGATAAAATGATACAGGCGGCACAAGCTGGGCTACCAGTGAATATAAAGAACACTCCGATTCCACCACAATCGAAAACGGCATCGACGACATTGGAACCGAGGATTCAGGCGGCTGCCGCTTCGTCGAGGTGGGAAATTGAGAAGGGTTACTGTAGGCTAGACAACAATAAAATTAGAGCCAAAAGTTAAAATAATTCAATTGTAAAATTTGGAAAAAATCAAATTGAAAATCAAAAGGATTCCTGTAGGAAAAAAAAATTAGAAGGATTACTGTAGGGAAAAAATGTTTGAAAAGAGAATAATCACTGTAGGTTGAATTCCGTTTTTTCAATCGCTGTATGATTACGGTAGATGCAAATACTATTTTTAATTCAAAATCCGGAAGTAGGGTTACTGTTGTGTTCATGTGGAAAATAAACCGAGTGATTTTTTTTCCAAAAACCTGGGTATCACTATTGAGGAATTTACTGAAGCTTAAAAAAGGTACTATAGGATTTTTCGATCTATTTAGGATTACGGTAGACGCAAATTCGATTCAATTTTGAAATCGAAAAATTATTCGAGAGATTTTGTAAAGAAATAGGGATTACTGTAGTTGAAAATACTGTAGCCAGAAAAGAGATACAGTAGTAGAAAATACAATTCCGGGCTTTCAAAATCTCAAGCTCTCAGAATAGGGGAACGTTGGAATTTCAGAATTTTTGAAGTTTCCAAATTACACATTCTCAGAATTTCAGAATTTTAGAAATTTAGAATTACACGATTTCAGAATCTCTAATTTTGAAAGCTTCAAACGTTTATGATTAATGATTACTGTGGGAAAAAGTATACAAAAAATTAAAAGGATTACTGTAGGAAAACATATTTCAAATTTCTTCAGATCCGGCCTGGAAAATCGTGGCGAACGACTGGCTCTACTCGAAAAGACGCTAATCGAGCAAGTCCGATCGGCCGAAACGAACCAAATGAGATTCACTCGGCTAGGAGACGTTGGAAAAGTGCGACTATTCGAAGGATGGGGTAAAACTGCGAAACAAGATTTGCTTCTGGTTCGAGAGGTGGCAAAACGAGGACTGATGTTGCCCAAATTCCACTATGAAACTCGACAAATTCCATCGGCCGATTTGTTTCCGGATTTGGCTGAGGATGTTATCGAATTGACTGTTATTTCGTGCAGGTTAAATTTTTTTGTTTAATTTGAAAAGTGGCTGAAAATGGACCAAAAATAAGCCAAAAACGAGCCCTGTCAGAGTTCCTTTTAAATGCAAAATTGTTGAACCAAGTTGGATATAATAGAACTTTTCAATTACTTCCAAATAATACTATTTGGGATACTGTATCTTTCTATGAACAAAGTTACGAGCTATTAAGCTAGCTCAGTCGGTTTTTGGCTTGTAACTTTGCTCAAAGACAATTATACAGTATCCCAAATAGTATCATTTTGTATGGCTCGTCGAGCTCTATTGTATCCAATTAGGTTAATGAGAAAACATTGATTTTCGAAGGAACTAGAGCATTTTTTTACTCCCAATTCTCGCTATTTTCAGAGACGTCCCTCTCCCATCTGGCTACGAGAATCATCATGCCAACCTATTCGTAAAGTACACCTTCCCTCCAGTTGTCTCTGATCAACCACAAATTGGAAAAACGAAACTGATCGCTGGCACGACGTCTCCCCAGTTCTCAGAATCCGTTATGCTCAATATTGGATCTGGAAAATCGAGAAATAGCAAACTGCAAAGAGTTTTTAAGAGGGGTGGATTGAAATTTGAGGTAATTAAGGAACAGGGAGGCAAGTAAGGCTTCCATTCGGTCGGGAAATTCAGCCGACCGACCGACCGCCGGGCGAAATTACGCATTTGCGCGTCAACATTCCAGAGAGTGTTTGCGTACACAGTAGTGGCTTGGTGGCCTAACTTTCTCCAGCAAGAATCTTATAGGCTATCAACTTTTAGGCCTATAAATAGCCTAATATTTACGCTGGTGTGTTTTCCAGGTCATTTACTAAGGTGGCCTAACTTTCGCAAGTTGAGTTTTCCAGGCCACTATGTTAATATGACCTAGAAAACACACCAGATGAATATTAGATCATTTCTAGGCCGGAAAAGTCGGAGGCCTAGAAAATTCATCTCGAGAAAGTTAGGTCGCCAACTTTTTCAGCCTAGAAATAACCTAATATTTACGCTGGTATGTTTTCTAGACCATTTTAACACCATGGCCTAACTTTTGCAAGTTGAGTTTTCTAGGCCACTATTTTAATATGACCTAGAAAACACACCAGATGAATATCAGACGATTTCTAGGACATTAAACATGGTGGCCTAGAAAACTCAACTTCAGTCCCAAAAACGAGTGGTAAACACCCACTGATATTTTTTTGATACTCTTTGAAAACTTAAAAATTACATAAGGGTATATGTGATATTCACCTGCTGAAAATTTTTGAAAAATTGAGAAAAAAAACCAAAGGGGGGCCCCTTATTAAATTTGCACCTACTGATATTTTTGGAAAAATTGCAAAAATCACATAAGGGGGGACCTTTATCTGATTTTTACACCCACTGATATTTCGTCGGCCAAATTTTCAGTATCAGGGCCTGACTCAACTTGCAAAGGCCACCATCCTAGAATAGCCTTAAATCCAAACTTTCACTAATCTTTTTCCAGGTCTTCCAAAAAGGCGGATTCATGAGAAGCGACAAGCTACTGGGTGGTTGTGAATGGAAGCTTGAGAAACTCGAATCGAATGCTGAAATGGAAGAATCTCTTCCACTGAAAGACGGTCGGAAGGCGGTTGGAGGACTCCTCTCGGCGAAAATTCGAATTCGAGAACCGATTGGAGATGCGAAAGCTCAATCGATCACTCAGAAATGGCTCGTTCTGGATAATTGATTCTTTGCTCTTTTTTATGCTATTTTTTTTTGTATAATTGTCCCTGTGATTTCTTTTGATTTTTATTAGAATCTCCTTTTGAGATTTTTTTTATTACTCGGAATGAATAGAGTTTTATTTATATGTTTTTTAATCAAGAAAAATGATAAAAAATAAGATTTTCGGGAAAAATAGCACAAACATTTAAGAATACGGGTTATAAACGATTTAGGGACAATAAAATGAGCAAATTGAAAGGATTACTGTAAAAGGCGCCAGTGCGAAAACTACCGTACTTTGAGCCTATCTTCAATATATATTTTTTCAATTTTTCGACGATTTTACAGTTTTTTTAAAAATGTAAATCAAGGAAAAATGATTTGAAACGCTGAAAATATTGAAAACCCGAAGATAATCGTCGAAGTAATGAGAAAACAAAATTTACAATCGGCTCGTAGTATTATCGTTTTACGATAAAATGAACCTTGAGACGCAGACAGATATACATACAAAAAAATTCTCTGCGTCTCCACCGAATATGTGCTATTGTGGACTCGCACCCTCTCTGGTCTATGGCCTCAATCGTAAGGACTTCTGACTCACGACACTGCTGGAAGACTACACCTATACGCCTCATTTCGAAGCAACCATAGGCTGATCGATTCGGCGCTGGGCTCATCCCGTTTCACTCGCCGTTACT